TGAAGATGTATGGGAGAGTGGATGTATGGATCCACGTTTTCTTGACCTTGGCACTAGTTGGAGATGAGTGGTCAGTTTCACACCCCGGCCGCTTTACCCACGGGGAAAGAGATCCCGGTACCCATTGGATAGGAGGCTGGGTGGATCCCAGAGCCGGTTTGGATGACACAGAGCAGTTAAAATTCTTCCCCCACCGGGACTCGAACTCCGATTCCTTGGTTGTTCAGCCCTTAGCCAGTTGCTATACCGGCTGCGCTATCCTGGCTCTATACACAGAATTGGGTTCCATTTTCACATTATAACCGTGCAATATCGTCTGGGTGTTTTAACAGCCCCTTTGTGTGTGAAATGCTTTTGACCCTGGATGCCTCAGTATGAAGGTATATGCCTTGAATTTGATAAAATTCTGGCAATTGAGTGGCTGAGCAACTGCTGGCTTCTAAAGAAGGATCCAGCTCAGAGTTAGTTACTTCATCACTTCCATAGCTAAGTATTCAAACCACACTGCATTATCATCATCACCACCACCACCACCATCGTTGCCTGCTGCTGCTGTTGCTGTCGTTATTATTATTATTATTATTATTATTATTATTATTATTATTATTATTATTATTATTATTATTATTATTACTGTTGTTGTTATAATTAGAGAGCCAGGATGCCTCAGTCAGTATAGTGACAGGCTACTGGCTGGATGACCAGTGCTTAATTCACAGCAGAGGCAAAATTTTTCTCTACCCCAGTGCCCAGACTGACCCTGGGGTCCACCCAGCCTCCCATCCAGTTGGGACCAAGGGCTCTTTCCCAGGGGTAAAGCAGCTGGGGCATGGAGATGACCACTTGCTTCCACTAAGCAACAAAGTCATGTATTTTTNTATTATTATTATTATTATTATTATTATTATTATTACTGTTGTTGTTATAATTAGAGAGCCGGGATGCCTCAGTCAGTATAGTGACAGGCTACTGGCTGGATGACCAGTGCTTAATTCACAGCAGAGGCAAAATTTTTCTCTACCCCAGTGCCCAGACTGACCCTGGGGTCCACCCAGCCTCCCATCCAGTTGGGACCAAGGGCTCTTTCCCAGGGGTAAAGCAGCTGGGGCATGGAGATGACCACTTGCTTCCACTAAGCAACAAAGTCATGTATTTTTATGACACAGTGCTTAATCAGTTAAGCAGAGGGACAACTTTACCTTTACTTTACATATGATTGTGCTGGTTTGAAAAGACTCCAAACATTTAATTTCCTTCAAAGTACCTCGTGTCTCTTCTGCTGTCATTGATTCCACTAAATGGTGGGTTTATCGAGGAAAAGCCTCCAACTGTGTTTGCCTAGCCACAATTTTTAACCTTGCACCTCTGTCCATACTGTTCCTCTATTTGTATTATTATCAGCCACTTTGGTAAGCCACCTCAGTCTGGTCTCCTGAGACTGTAGTCTAGTTTCCATTAAGCGGTGAGATGATGCATGAGAAACCTCCAAATATACCTGCACCCCCACAGCTTTACATCTTGAGCCCACAAGTTTCTCCTGCTTGTTATATCATCCATACTCATATGGGTAAACCATCTTGATTTGAGTTGCCCTTTAGAGCTTTTGCCTTTTAACATATAATTCCAAATCCCTATCATGCCGTCTGATTACATCCAGTGTTTCAATATGCCCCAATCACTGTAAGTTTTTCATCCATGAAATGTCAATTTCTATCCTTGTGTTTCTGTAGAGCTTTCTCTACAACCTCTTTGTTTACAAATTGAACATACACTCTCCCGCAAACTTCTTCCTTTGTATTCAGGTGGTATGGATGACCTGTTGTGTACAACCAATTCAATTTTGCTGGAGCAATTGTTGCATTTATAAATCATTTGCCACAGATGAGGCACAGTGGAACAAGACAGACTGAATCACCAGCCCATGTAAAGCCCACTGATATACAGCTTTCATTATGCACACAGACAATTTATGTGTGAGTTGTTACATTTATGCAGTGAAATTTGTCACAGGTTTATGATATTTCATTACTATCCCCATCAGAATTGTTTATATACCTGGAACTTAAGTCCCCCTCTTTTACCACATGCCTCCTCTTCAAAAATCATAACATAGGACCATCAGACAGTTGTGTAAAACATGAGGGTTAATAAAATGTGAAATAGAATGGCATAATAGATAACTAAACTAGAAAATCGCAAAAATATATGAGAACCTCGCACAAACCAACCTACAAATTTGAACTTATACAATGTTTATAACAAGCAGGTACAATATTCCTCTGTGACAGTGTTGTTAACCACCAAATGCCCGCCCCCATTCATGTCTATCTTCATTCACTGCATCCTCCAATACAAGTTAACAAAAGAGAATGAATATGACTACAATGAACTATTTCTTTCAATTTTGGCGTACTTATTTCCAATTAATTTAAATATTAATTGGTCTTATGTTATGAAGATTATTGAAATGGCCAAAAAACTTGTTTAAATGCTGAAAAACCATAGAAAAATATAATGATTAAAGAAGGCAATAAGCAAATATTTTTTATATAACTTGTAACTCCAAATATAGGAAATAGATAGCTTTAGTTGTCTTTATTAATATAAACACACATAAGCACGAATGTGAAAACTATATATATTTTTTCCTCCTGTGGTTTCTTGCTCAACCCTAGGGTCGCAGGGAGCCACCAGTTGAGAAAGTCTGCTTTAACAGAAGGCTGTTAGAATCAAGGCTGGTAGGTGCAAAGAACAGATAACCAGTTAAGATGCCTGATTTGCTATTTCTAGCTTTGGAGTGTTTATTGGCTCTAAGAACATTTCCAGTCAACAATTTGGAAGTGTTTCATAAATATTCAGAATTCCATGCAGTCAATACAAGATATAAGTGTGAACCAGTTGCAGATGTTACAGTCTACCATGAGATAGTATAGCATGCTGGAAGAAAACTTTATACCCCACCTAGCCCCACAGAAAGCAATTCAAATTATCACTAAAGACAGTTCTTGTGATTCGGAAATTCTGCATTGCAGTATTACGAGTATATTTAAGTATCCTGCTGCATTACTTAACTTTTACACAGAATATTAATAATACAGTTCCAACAATAATGCAACTATTTTATTCTTTCCCTTTTATCACATATTTGGGCCCCAGCCCGCCATCATCAGGTATCTTAATTTACCAAAACTGTTATACTATACTGAATATCACTCATTCACTTCACATGTGACTGCCGTATTCTGTGATATTAATGTTGTGGTCACAATCTAGCTAACACTAATTGACTTACCGTATGCTGTAATTTACTATTTATTAGAATTCATTAAGAATCATTAAAATTTAAAATGTATGTTTTTTCTTAAAGTTTTGTAAAATTCTTTTTACACCTCACTAGGGTGTTGTCCACTTGTCTGGACAATATATTTCAGTCCTTTCCTTGGATAATGTAGCAGCGGCCTGTTGTTTTCTATATGTAAGCTTATTGTTGTTGTTACTTTTTGCCCCTTGTCTGTACGTTGTTCTCTCCACCAACATATGGTGTTTTCCTCTCTTGTCGTAGATGTTGTGAGGAGTAAAAAGCATTTTACAAAATTTTAAGAAAAAGGAAACATAAATTTTAAATGTTAATGAATTTTAATAGAAAGTAAATTATGGTGTGTGGTAATTCAACTAATGTTAGCTAGATTGTGACTACAACATTAATATCACGGAATATTGCAGTTACGTGTGAAGTTAATGAGTGATATTTAATACAGCATAACAGTTTTGGCAAATTGAGATACCTGTTGATGACTGGTTGGGGCCAAAACATGTTGAAAAAGGGAAAATGAAAGGGAGAGAATAAAATAGTTGCATTGTTGATGGGCCTGTATTATTAATATTGTGTGTAAAAACTTCTACCTTGCAGATTAATTCCTATTTTGAGTAAGTACAACTTCACCAGTCATTGGTCAGATCACCACATAGTCAACATGCTTCACCAACATAGTGATTCAACTATTATAGCAAAATGCTAAAATATAATTTTGAATAAGTGTTTGACTGTATGCAAACATGTGTCTAATTGAAACAAATTTCTTTACCATGTGGACTGTATCCAAGTGTGTTGTTGCCCATACTGCTAAGAAATTTTAGCGTAACTGTAGTCATGTATCTGATTGCAGTGCATAAACTTATAGGTGTACGTACTTGCTGTCTCTGAATGTACAACAAAATTGCTATACAGTTACTATAGTGTGGCTGTGTGTGATAGAATCTGTTGCCTTTCCAAATGTGCTGTGTTGTTTTCTGATATAGCCCCATACCCCTTGTCTAGAGCTGGTGGGATACAGACATGTCTTCCAGCCCATCTCATTGGCAATGGTGACTTTCAGACACTTGAACTCAACTCACTGTGTCTTGTCTTGTCAGTTCATTGTAAACCTGATTTTTGAGGATCCAAGCAAAATTCACTCGTAGCAGCCTGCAGTAACAAGCTTCAACTTCAGCATTAATCAAGGGGAGAGAGCAGAATATTACAGGGATACAGAAAAAGTGTTAGAATTTAAGAGAATAGCATCCATACAGTGGTAAAATAACAAGTAGGGGGATATTTTTAATTAACTGGATTAACTCTTGGTATATTTACTAAATTTGAATTTATTTTGTGGGACTATGTATTCTAATATAACGCAGTGATTGAGGTTAGCTCTATGTAATCGACGTAACAACCCTGTGTTCTATAGAGTACCGGACAACGGCCAAAGTGCAAAAACCCGAAACGCTCAAAACTGAGCGATCCCGCGGAATAGTAGAGAATTTGACGGTAACTGAGCTACCGATGCCGGAATCATAGCCATGAAATGTAAGACTTGCATATAGATGGCACTTACTAAACTGCTAATCATTTCAAAATTAATCCATGGACAGAGTTGTAGCACGGATCTGCAATTATTACTAATCCTCGGTAGTTAGTATTCCGTGGCGGTAGCCATTTTTGTAAATGGAACCATAGCAGAATCGTCAGGATCGTCAGTATGGTAGTGGTGTCCAAGACATCTAAGTTATGAAACGTTTTCCCTCACTCGCAGACTGCAATGGTCGGTTCGAATCCCACAGGAAGCATGGATTTCTATTTGCTCTTATTCTATGCTTGTGTTGGTAGCGGCCTTCCGACACTTCCGACCGGCTGATCCGCTGTCCAAGGAGGTCTACCGACTGGTAAGATACTGAAAAAGCGGCCAATGTCCGCAAGGGCTCTACAGCCATAGATATATAGGAGGAATGGAGAGGAAGTTTTTGATTTAATGAAAACCAAATTTCATAAATGTGTGGCGTATGTAATTTCAGTATTAAGTTTTAAAATCGTGTCGACATAAGATTTTGCAGTAAGTGGACAATTATGGTATGTAGCAGCATGTGTAATGTTCATCATATATGTTCCTGTAGTTTGAAGCTGGCAGTATATAGAGTATCCGTATTTGTGGGCTGTTTCCGTCCTAGATTACAGGATAAGGTAAGGAATCTTAGCTGGTTGGGACTCCTTCCCAGGCCACAGTTTAGTTATCCTGTCAGTACCAAGGAAACAATTAGTTTATCGAACAGCACGGTTTGAAGAAAGTGGGACTGCAGGCAGCGTTCAAAATACCTAGTGAAAAGATCATTTGAAAAGGCATCTGAATAACCAACCTGTAGATGGATTATAATTAATGATCGTGTAAGCATAGTATAATTGTTACTACTTGTTTGACAGTTGTGGAGAGGTGCCTGTGGAGAGACTGTCATCACAACTGATGTCATAGCGAGATAGAAACATGTAACAGATTCTCTGCCTTTGCTATATGTTCTGTGAAGACATCCTGTATGTGATGTATGTAACAGATTTATCTATACAGTTCTGAACATTTTTGAGTCAGTAGCCATGCGTGTATTCTAGAGGCCTCAGACACATCTCATTCCAGAGATCTGTTATCCTGATGGAGGTGTTCCTTAGTTTTGCTGAGTGGCAGAATAGTTCCTCAAATTAGGCGCAACCATTTTTCACTATTCACTCATAATCTATTGTTGAGTGAGTGCTGTAGAGTCAGTCTAGCGGAGGATAGGGTGCAAAGTGTATGAGCAGAACTAGGCAAGGGGCATGAAGCTGGGAAGGGCAGAAGGCCCCACACACACACACATGTGTCAATGCCAGTCTTCTTCTGTGTTTGGGTATAGAACTCTGTTGAAATGGTAAAGAGTACTGGCATTTTGCAAGACTTTGCTGTCACTTGATATCATTGCAGCAGATGAAATGTCAGCAGCAATCATTGGTGAGGAGCGTATGAGTTCAGTCGGAGAGCAACCAGCAAGTTTGTGTATCACTAAAGTTTAGTGCCTCTTGTAGTTCCAAACTCAGTGTCAGGGGATCATCTTGATTTAGCACACTCATGGATTGGTTAACACACTTCATGGTGCACTCAGATTTATGAGTAGAATTTGTATAGCTTTATCTGTGCTGTCCATGTTGGCAGTCCTGGAATGGTGGTATCAGTGAAGGGTAGCTGTTTCCAGCGATGAAGGATGTCGAGTTTCTGAGTGAGCAGGAGCCACATGGCATCTTCATCTCTGTGGATCCATGTAAGAGGCATAATTCAGTAGTACTTTTTTTCCCACTAGTGAATACATCCTGTTGTGTATCATATACTATTTCTTACTGAAAACCATCATAACACAACAATTAATAATGCGTGTAAGTAGCTCTAGGAGATACGTTTGCAACATGTTTCACCCATGGTTACCATAATAATTCAATCAATACCATATACAATCACTAAGTAATTCAATAATAGTTACCAATGCTATATTATTTCCAGGTATCAAATATTTAATAACATACAACATAACAACAGGCCTCCAAACACCACATCAGCTATTGTGTATATAATAGATCCGTATAAGCATTACATAAAGAAAGCAGTCTTCTGGGATTTGGCACCGTGTATAAGTGGTGTTAACCGACGTTTCGGAGGAACGTATCGCCTCCATCTTCAGGGTAGAAGAAAATATAAGAATTCTGCAATACGTTCCTCCGAAACGTCGGTTAACACCACTTATACACTGACGCTGATCATTTTGAGCCCTTATTTATTTGGATGTTTATAGATGAACGTGAAATTTATTTCTAATTAATTCTCGGTAATTTTAATTTAAAAGTCTTATGTTTCGATATTACTGGAAATGTATCGTGATCTATAATATCGTATTTTGTCGTCTGGGACGTGCAATACGATGTTTACGTTGAAAATTTCTAGATTCTGGCAGAAACAAGAAATCCGGAGTTATGACATTTACGATCAGTCATAAATTTAGCTTGGGTACAGGGAACCGGACGCGCCTAAAAGGACAGGTCAGAGCTTGTTACAATTGCCTGTGAATGAGGGCCAGTATGATTGGGTTGCCTCGTTCAAGCTTCCTACGGAAGATGGGATGAAAATGTATATGTCAACACCATCTTTCGAATTCCCGGCGTGGGGGTGCAAGCCATTCCACAGAAAGAGAGACTTTCACAATATTCCGAACTGAACGGACGTGACCTTTGCACGCTCCGAGACATAGCTTGCCGATAGTAACGCTGTAACTTAAAGCTAAGAATACATTAATTTAACAGTGTGGTGAATTAGCAGGTGAATAAACGTCAATTGGCTCAACTCTCAGAAAAACGCTTTCTTCGGCATCGCTACCTTGAGACTCATGCAAACCGACCCAGCTAGTTTCCCGTACCTATACCGATCTTCCTTAGTTTGATTTGTGAGGACAACTTCCAGTAGCCATCATACACTGTCCTAAGGTAGAAACAGGTGTAGCAGGGATAGCACCATTCTGACTGCGCCGATACAAGCAAAGGCGGGTTGGAAAGAGTGGTGTTAACACGATGCCAAATCCCAGAAGACTGCTTTCTTCATAGTCACCGCCGTGAAAGCCTCAAATCTTACAAAGCATTACATATATTACATTTACAACCGCCAACTTCCAAATACCATAACAAATACAACTTTTAACTATACTTTTGACTATGTAACTGGTTATTTAAGACTTCAACTTTTATTGTAATTTATATTTTATGAATTTGATTTGTTTCATTCTGGTCCGTCACACTAACAATTACAAAGACAAAAACAACGCTGTCCAGTGTGACTATTTAAGTTTTATCACTTGAAAACTCATCACCCTTACATGTTTCGATCCCTACGGATCATCCTCAGAGGTCATGAATACTTTTTCCGGAAACTACTATTACAATAGGTGTTAAATTATATACATACACATATAATGTCTGAAATACACAATGTACACAATGTTCAAGTTTTCACAGTCACAGCAGCCTTCCTGGTATTAATTTTTTTTTTATCTTTTTAAAGAATTTGTTGTTTAAGATTAAAATTTATAAACCATGCAGGTTCATATCAATTCTCCTATTGTCTTTCTTGGAGGTGGCTGATCTTGTGCTGCCTGTCTATCTTGAGAAAGGAGATTCTTAGAATTGTCCATGTTTGTTCATGGCTTACTGTGTTGTTTACACGGTGTAAACAACACAGCAAGCCACAGGCAGCACAAGATCAGCCATCTCCAAGAAAGACAATAGGAGAATTGATACGAACCTGCATGGTTTATAAATTTTAATCTTAAACAACAAAGTTTTTAAAAAACTTAAAAAAATTAATACCAGGAAGGCTGCTGTGACTGTGAAAATTTGAACATTGTGTACATTGTGTATTTCAGACATTATATGTGTATGTATATAATTTAACACCTAGTGTAATAGTAGTTTCCAGAAAAAGTATTGATGATCTGAGGATGATCCGTAGGGATCAAAACATGTAAGGGTGATGAGTTTTCAAGTGATAAAACTTAAATAGTCACACTGAACGATGTTGTTTTTGTCTTTGTTAAATTTTATATTCACTGAGATCATTTTATACCATTGTATACACTTGGAAGTTTAGCACTGTATCCTATATTTGACATGCGATTCAGTAATGAAAAGTTTAATATATTTGCCTGATGATGGCCTTTTGAAGGCCGAAACATGTAGCAAAAGTATCTCCTAGAGCTACTTACACATATTGATTGTTGTGTTGTGATGGTTTTCAGTAAGAAAATAGTACATGATTTGTTTCGCCTGATGATGGCTTCATGAGCTGAAGCATGCTGCGACATTGTACGACCAGTAAACCGTGTTTATGCACAGTGAAATGTCAGTGAATTGTTTTGTAAACTCTTGTGTTTGACAGGAAAAACAAAACTCATATGTAGCATCTTCCTCTGTCTAGCTCATGCAGGGACCCTCCTGTACTGAAAGATGTGTGTGTTCAGATGCCAGACATACGTACCAGTTCTTGTTAGAATATACAGTGCCCCATTTAGGCAGGTCACGTTCCCTGAGTTTTTTCTGAACATTTTCATTAGCAGACATGCCCCTGCTCAGTGGTAACTTAATCTTGGCCCCAGACTAAAGTGTTGTATAGTGTCTTGGGGTTTGTAGCCCAGTGGAGCTCATTAATATCACCCAATGCCATTGTCCTGTGTACCTGTCAGATAGACTGCACTAGTGATACATTCGACACACAAAAACTACTACAGCCGCAATAGAATACGACGGCATTCTCAAATGTTGACGTGCATGGGAGCACAGTGAACAAGTATACAGTGCAGTGGTCTCCCCAAAAGAGGGGAAATTACCCGAAGATGACCCATATGTGGCCAAAACATGTAAACTAGAACAAATATATGACTAGAGACATGTTAGAAAATTGGATAATCACTTCTAATGTACAGAATATGCTTTTAATGTCCTATTGACATGTAATGATTTTAACAACATCAAGAAGTATTGAAATACTTTTTTAGTGTGAAACATATTCCTAATGTCTATTATATTGTTGCATTATTGATGGATACTTTGATAATAAAGATGATCATTAAATAGCTTGTGCCACTTGACATTGAAGCATATCTTGAAAACTAAACCTCACAGGACACATTTTGTGCAATATATTTGATGTTCTTGCTTTTTTTTTCACTCTGTATAGTATGTTCAGATTTACAATTTGTAAAGCCGTGCATAATTGTTATAGTATATTGGCAGTTTGGGAGCTGTATCAGTGAAGAAAATCTGTATCGAGTTTGTGGGTGAGCAAGTATTGTGCAGCTTCTACAAGGAGCCCCCTGTACCACAGGTGTCATGTTACATTCACTCTTCTAGGCCAGCATTTTTTGACCTTGTTCCATAGATAGAGTAAAATGTAATTTCACTGCTTGATAAATTTTAACAGCAAGAAACTCAGAAAAGACCCTGTTGCAAGTTTTCAATTCAATACAGGACATGACTGCCTTGCAGCACATCTTTGTAAGATAGGAATATATAACACAGAAGAATGTACACTGTGTAACTTGCCAGGATCATCTATGAAAAAAGAACACCTGCCCTAATCTTAACAAGGAGATGCAACGTAGCAAGAACTTGAGTGCTCTCTATTGGGAAGCAAGAAGCAAAATAGGTTAAATGATCCCAGATGCAGCCATTGGAAATCAACCAACCAGCCAGCCAATATCTCATATAACTTTCGCCCCCCCCAGTTCAGTACTGTAAGGAAGTAGGCAGGGCATGTAGGGACCTTGTATACAGGACAGGTGGTGAATGGGGGAGAGGCTTTCAGGTAGTTAGTGTAGCAGCATGTGTTTGGTCTCATATGCAGGGTTGTGACACAGGGTTAGTGATTGGCATGCTTTGTCTAACGGTATGAAACGAGATTCCTGTTTGAACTCCTGCTTTCAAGTGGCAGCCCCTGTTAGGAGGAGCCACATGTAGGCTTGGTTGGTGGCATTCATTAGAGCAGGGCATCAGCCAGTCAGGAAATAACAGCACTACCTATTGTTAATCCTCGCCACTAATGAAAGAAAAATAAAACCCATGCTGTATTATATGTATATCCCAGTAATGTATTGTACCATTTTGCATTGCAGGCCAGATCGTAGTCTGTACTGGACGTGTTTGTGTATGGGAGGCTTCTGAGATGGTGCAGCTTCTGGATGCAAGAATTTCACAAGAGGAGGTAAACTAAGTTAATTTTGCTTCCATGTTGCGTTACATTACCTCACTTCATCATCATATTTGCATTCAGTTTACAGAGTTTCAGTGACATTCAAGCATCAGTATTAAGTAGCAAGCAGGAAATGCTTGCAAATGTATGAATAGTGCTGCCTTTTGAAAGCCAGGGTGCTAGGATTCAAGGCAAGAGCACACTGAGACACATGTGCATGCACACCCTTACGTGAACACCTTTTCTGTGGTGTTATAGTCATGAATTGATCATAAAATAATATCTCTTAGTAGAGTATACAAAGCAGTGTGATACATTATAGTACAGTTTGCTACAGTTTATTGTGCGTTAGTATAATATAATATAGTAAACTATCTTACCACGTGCAGATTTCAAGTATCTGCAGTCTACCTTTTGTATCCAGCTTTTGACACCATAGTACTTAGCTTTAGTTTGTGCACACACTGGAAAAGTTTAACAAGATCAGCATTTACTGGAAGTCACAGGGTGATGGCATTTGAAAGCTGTGTGTCCTCCAGTTTCTGTATTATGATTGCTATGTCTCTCTGGTGTAATGCTCCACCACCATCTGTAAGCCAATTGTATAGAAATTTTGGGAGCCTCAATGTCTAAAATCACTATGGGCCTGCTTGGCCTGTTATGGGGATAGCTTCACATTATTATGCATCTGTCTCTTGCTTTTTGTGTTGAGTGTCCAACTTACACCTGAATGTGCTATTACATGTGTACACTTGGTCGTCAACTTACGACCTATGCGACCTACAACTGGCCGCACTTACAACCACAAAAAAATAAAAATAAAAGGTGATTAAAATGTAAAAGTTTTTAAAAATAAATT